GATAAATACAGCAACCATTTTCAACGAGTTACAAAAATTTTGTTCATACTGTTGAAAATATTCTGTCTCCTAGGCCCTTGCGACATTTGTTTTCTTCAATTTATCCCAAAACATTATGCAAATTGGGTGTTATTTTATCTCTTTATTGCCTGAATTTATATAAAATTGTACAAAGAAAACATATTACTTGTATTACAATTATCAATGAGACATTAAATTATAATGTCTGATTGATAAAGGATGCCGGACAATAAGTCATGCTACATATAGTTAGAATTGAATCATTCAATGAAGTTATTCTTCTGCTATAAAACTCTCCTGATCATTGAATTCTAAAATAAGTCCTAAATATTTATTGATCAGATTAATTGGAGAAATTTTCAGGAGGCTTTGGCTCCTTGACAAACTAAAAAAATCCATCTTATGAAAAATGCTGATGCAACTTTAATTCCTCTGCACACACTGCAATGTCTTTGCTAAGTTCAGTGAGGCATTAGTCATAAATTTTCTAGAAATGATCTAAGAAACTCCAGATAAAACTACTGAGGAAATGCTGACATTGTTCTTATTTTCCTGAGGAAATCCATTAGAATGTCACTAAGTGAATTTGTGTGATGAATGAATTATTAATAACAAAGGTTATTGCTGATTGTTTCTTTCGTTGCAGAAATTAATTGTTGTTGGCATTTGGGAATTCTGCCCATCAGGTACGAACCGGCAAGCTGCCAAAATCTGGCACAATGTGCACTCACATTGGATGTTGAACAAGTCAGACTGTATCCACTTCCCCTTTTCCCAAACAACTGAAGACATGTTTTTCTGCAGTGATGTGCATTACATTAAATGTAATGCACATCATTACATTCTGTGCTACTGGAACAGGGAACGTGTCCGTGGCATTACAAGTAATAAAAGAGAACATCAAAGGACAAACCCAAAAAACGAAGATGGGAAACAAAAACTTTTATGGGGATTTATTTTATAAGAGTCTGGAATGGACCAATAACATACATGTCAGGCTGTATATAAAAAAAAGATTAAGTTATTCTAACTTGAACCCATAAACATTTCCTGACAAATATCTGACATCAGACCATATTTTTTTTGTGCCTGAATAAAAGCTGAGACACAGATGGCAGCCAACAGGGAAGATTAATTCATTATAATCTGACAGCTGCTTTCCATGCTGTCATGACTGATGATTGTCCTTTAAAAGATAACAGTCAGGAAATCAGTCATGCATAAGCCTGATGTGACAAAACTTACGTTGTGGATCAGGTGAGAAGATTATGCTGAAATGTTAAAACACTTCATAATGTCTCCTTTACACTAAGGATCCTGTAAAAAAAAAAAACTAAATAGCATTTTCTGGTTCAATAAAGACACACAATAAAAGAAGAATATAAAACAGTGAGGCAACATTTTAGATAAGTCAACAGTAGATATATTAAAAGGTCCAAAAACAAGAATGGATTTTAAAGGTTTAGATATGAAGGGCAAAGTAAAAGGTTAGTCTTTATGGCAGAAAGAAATATCCATCAAATGGGGAAAAGAGTCAGGCAATTTTGTTTTATAACGGTGCTGCAAACGGTGCTCTAAACTTCAAATCATGATTCTCAGTAACTCAGCACTCTTTCCTTTGTCATGGTTCCTTTCCCAGCATTTGGCATTTGGTTCAGGTCGTCTAATGTCTGTGCTTTGCAGGTGCAACATTTTTAGCTCCCCTATGACTTTCTGAATTGGGTTGTCAGATTTGGACTCCTATCAAATAATTTAAAAAAAATCCTCAATATTATTATCAGGTACTCAAGCAAACGTATTTGCCGTAAGATTACATTACTATGAGATGACCCTAGATTTTTTTTTTTTTTTATTCCAATGTCTTTTCACAAATACAGATTGAAAAATGTAGCATAAAATTCAATTGAACCCTATGCTCCCTGTAAGTATTTTAGATATTTATTTTTCTTCCAGCTGACTGTGACCAAGACAGAGAGTCCATTTAAAGGTTCTGGAAAACTCTACAGATGTTCTGTGTTCATTAACTGATTAGGCCATAATCATCCAAATTACTAGAAACAAAGGCTCAGGATATATATGCCAGTTTCATTTTCAGGCAATATTCAAATTTTTTAAAACTTACTAGTACTTGTGTTAAAGAAAGAAAACAGAAAAATACTAAATCACAGAGGAACTGACAGCAGAAGAACAAGTTTGATTTCCATACTCATCCTGTCACAAATGATGTAATCCTGAGTTCATTAAACTTGTCACAAAAAGTCGCAGAGAATCAGATCGTTTCAGAGATTGCATCAGTGAAGTTCTGCAGACAGCAGCTTCAATAATTACCAACAACACAGAGCAAGCTGGGATTGTGCCCCATTAACACACATTGGACCATTTGAGTCAACTGTGTTGAAACTAAAACTGGCATGACACGGGCCAGACGGGCCCAGGACACTCCTGATATAAACCATTAGTTTGGCAGGAACATATGCCAACAAACCGTCACTTAAAAACGTCCAATAATTCATATCTGCTTCTCTTAGATTGTTTCGTGTTAAAATAGATCACTTGAGAAAAATACAGGCTCCAACCCTCAGGGAAATTTAGATGTTTTATTTTCAGTGTTTTGACATCCAGTCTTAACCCTGCTCAGATAGAAAATGTCAGAATTATTATTATTTCAGGATGGAAGTATTTGTATTCTTCAGGGGGAAGATTTTGTTGCTATGCTCTTTACCTCAACAGAATTATTTTAATAGTTGTCAGTGAAATATGTTTTCATAAATGACTGAGCTTTATAGTGTTTGAGCAATAAATCAGAGCCTATTTCTATTCCCTCTTTCCCAATAACATACGATCAATGAATCAGTACAAAAGGTCAGTCGAAGCAGCTTAGATTGAACGTAGTACACATTTGCGATGACCAATGCTACAAGTGTGATTCTACTGAATTTTGGTTGATCATTATTATTTCCTTTTCATCTTCCATCTTTTTGAAGTCTCTCAATAAGATTTCTTTTGCCACAGGAAATAGTTTTTCATAATGAGAACTTGCAGATAGATATTTGACCATATGTTTCAAAAATGGAAAAGTTCAAGGCCAGAATGAATTATCTCTGGAAAAAAACATAACATTTTTCCTTCTGTGTAAATCTCAGGAACAAATTGAGTGTATAAATGAGCCAGCGAGAACATGAATGCAAAGAATCACAAGGAGGTCAAGAGTTTTCTATAGAGTAAAAAATAAAAAGTTAAACTGCATGTTTCAAAACTGTGGCAGCACTTCATATTACATCTTTGCAAGAAACAAGACTAAATGAAAAATAATGAATAAATTACGTCTAATTACCAAGATGCTAAAATGCTTAAATGAGGATAATGCTCTCATATTGAAATTCATGTCAAAGGTTAATGAAAAGCCAGAAAGAGGGAGCAAAGACAGACAGATAAAACCATAAATAGAACATAAACAAAAAACTCCCAGGTAATACTAGGAATATATTTTTGAAATAATATTTTACTCAAAATAGTAAAATTGTTCATTTCAGTGCAATGTTTTGATAAATCAAATGTGGCAGCATAAGATGATTACAGAAAATATGTCGGATTACAATAAGCTATGTTCAAATTCAACATAAAAATCCAAATCCCTTCTTTAAGTAATGGGCTGAAAGGAAACAACTGTCAGTTTAGCCCCTTCACCGCAAAACCATACTAACATTAAAATAAATACAAATAAATATGAAAAACAAATTAAAATAATTAAAAAGTGTTATTTTGTGTGAAGAAAGATATGCACAAAGACATTTGCTTAATGATTAATAGTTGTAAATAATATACAGGTTGATACTTTTTAATCAACAACAACTCTTTCTCATAATCTGATATCAAATCAGTTTTAATATTTAGGATTACCAAAACTCCATTAACCCTCTAAGTCCTAAACAGAGCTGCGGAAATCCAGCCAAATTTGCAGTACCGTAATTCTGCCACCCTTTCCGCTATCTGAAAAATTTAAAGGGTTTCTGAAAGGGGAGATGATGCACTTTCCAGTCACTATCGGGTTATTATGGTAATTTCACTCTTGTCATAGCAGGGAGTGAAATTAATCCGAGGGACAGTTACAAAACTTACGTGCTAGATATTGAAAGTTCCAGGTGTTATTGATAAATGGGCAAATATATTTACTCACAGGACATTTAAAGAACTGCATACAATTAAAATAAGCAAAAATATCCACACAGATATTTTAAATTTAAGTCATTGTTTTGCCCAGGCAAAAACAGCTTGTAAGTGTCTGACTGGTTAATTCACAACATTTGAGTTTGATTCATGGTGAAGCAACACCTTAAACACAATGCTCCCTTTTGTGACATCAAGGAGGAATTTAAAGGAAAAAGCCAAGATATCAAGAAAGGATTTGTGATTCATCCTGAAAAATTCCAGATCCTTAAGAGTCTCTCGTTCATCTGCTGTCTCATTTACACATGACGCAAGTCTAAACACCCTGAGAAATTCCAGCTATCGCACTGTTTACAAAGGAGCCTGCTTCCGTGTCCCATAGATGAATGTGTTTAGGTGCAGAACATAGGCATGAAGACTGGAACAAAAGCTAAAGACCTTGAGAGGATTCTGCCTGAGGCCGAGCGTCATGTACCGATCAGAAAAGATGAACCCTAAAACCAACATAGTGAGCAAGACTGAAGTTTGGAAATGCTGCCTAATTCCCATTATTTCATTTGGATAAAAAAAGGCTTCAAGAACATCATCCAACTTGTGAAATATGTGGATGTTGTCATCATTTGGACTGTGATGTACCTCAAAAAATGGATTATGACATTTAAGAGATAGTCCACAGATAAATCTCTGACATAGTCATCATTCAGTTCATTAATCAATATACTGTGATTATATAAAAGTCGTTATTCATTAGGAAAAAAGCCATTCGGCAGTCAGCGTGAAACTACAACCTTCAAGTTAGGAACAAAACTCACCGCAGTTCTCCTCGTCTGCCTGGTTTCCACAGTCATCAATGCCGTTGCAGTGCAGGAGCTGCGGGAGGCAAACTGTCAGATTGCCACAGGGAAAATATCCAAGTGGGCATGTACCCTTCTCCTCTGTGATATTGAGTGCTGTAATCAAAACAGAAAGTCACAAAAATATGACTTAAATCAAAGCTTGCACAAAATGTTTTAATTAAATGCTGCAATGCTGCACAGATTCTTTCCTAAAAAATGTTTTTTGTGTAGAGGAACTGAAATGCTCAGTTTTATGAAGTTCTTGTCAAGCTACTCTGTTTTTTCTTACAGTTTGTCTGGCCAAGCTGTTGAACATGCTGCAAAAAGAAGTACAAGTCTGACAAATGCTTTAGGCTGAAGCAATTACATGGATTAATCGTAATTAATCAAAGATTGAAATAATTGTCAACTGGTGAAGTAGTCAATGAATGACTCACAGCCACAGATAAACTGAAACTGAACCAAAAATATATACATTTTGCATTTAAGATAAAAAAGCTTCTGTCTGTAAATATGTTATACTCAAAGCACTTCAAGTGGCAATTTTAGGTTGAACCAGTTCTGTACCAAAAAGAAAAGTCTATTAAGGATCCTTTGCTGTCAAATGATTCATCAAAGCAGTAGTCAACAAATGGGCTACACACTAAATCTATAAAACAACTGCAATGGCAATCTTCATGGTCATGAAATGTTATATTTTCTAGGTTGTTCTGTGACTTTTATGCAGCTGGTGCCATGAAAAACCAAAGATAACATAAAATTGAGTAAAGATTGACAACAATGAAACTGCACTTGAAAAATGTTCAGCGACGGCTGCAATAAATTAAAAGGCTTTGTCAATGACAGATAAATTATCTCCTCCAGTAGTGACTCATAGACTCTGCTTTTTCTCCCTTTCCAGTCTGTTCTGCTTATGGTGAAAAGCAGAAAAAATTTATAAAACCCAACAGCCACCAAAACATTAACAATAAAACATGAAATGCTGATTACTTTTAATTAAAGTGTGAAATAGCTCTGCTGAAGAAATGCCTCCAAATGCAGTACTTAATCAACTCTTTACCTGGATTCGTTAAAAATTAGATGAGAAATGATAACAAACTTTGTAAAATGTAGTTGGCTTGAAGTACATTCTGATTAATTAGTACATCCTCACATAAACAGCAGCATAATCACCTCATTTGATTTTAGCCCATGTATCTCATGACTGTGAGTGAAAATTAAGTCTTCCTGAGATTCTGCAAATGAATAAGCTCTAAGCTTGAAGTTTAGAAATGTCTTGATGCAGAACAGATTATGAGCTACAGAGAGAAGAAATCAGTCTTTTTATAATAATCCAAATGGGTCTAAGATCCATAACCAGCCAATTTTTTTTAAACCAGTTATTAATTTGAAGTATTAAGGTTGATCTGCTGCGTGGATAAGAGGTTGTTTGCACCCAGCACTAAGAAGTATTCTGATAGATCTGATTATAAAAGAGGGGATTTTAAGAAGCTGTTTTTATATTTCAAGAACTTCTCTGCTGCAGAGACGTACAAGATGTATCCTAAAAAAGGACATGTCCTTATGTGACTTTATGTAGGATATATAACTATTTTACTATGTCCTTATTTATCCTAGAAATACTGTATCACCTGTGCAGTTCAAATCAGAAGGTTATGTAAATAAAAAATATAATTCTGGAAGTATAATTACATCGTTTGTTTGTTTTGTTATTTTGTCAAAGAGGACTGATTATACATCTTTCATTGGCTTCCTAAATTTCAATCCACACAAAGCACTAATATATGAGCTTAAATATGACTATCTTTAATTAAATCTGTCAGTAAGTAGGGCTGAATGTAAAAGACGGGCCAGGGCCTGAGGCTGTCTGCTTAGCAATTAGCATTTAGCTCATCTAGCTTGGTCAATAATCAAACTAGGTACTTGATTTAACCTGTTGATCCAGGTCTGATCAACAGATTGGGAAGGTTTGAATAATATTTCATTTCCTTTTGGCATTAAGAAAGCATTTTAGAATTTGAACTGCATATTAAAAAATAATTTGAACGTGCATAATCTGATGGTTGTTTAGCTAAGGTCAAGAGAAGATCCAAACTGTTGCCTTCAGATGAAAATAAATTATTAAATTAGTTGGAATGATTAGCAGTTGAAAACTTTTACATCATAAACTTAGAGTTGCCAAGCAGGAAATACGATCTCCTCACATATTCAAGCTGAAACTGAAATTAGTTTGTTCAAACAAAAAATGCTAAGTGTTCCCTGATTGGTCACTAGGTGGGGCTGTAGGCTCCAGTGTATCAGGGGAAACTAATAGCAGGCAGAAGGGGAGACAAGTTTTGACTGCTGTCCGTGTTGTTGCTGTGTACTCTGGAGTAATTTGGAGGTACTTTGCAGTAATTGGGTTTTTGCACCAAACTTTGAACCTGCAAACCAACAAAACCCTTGGGATTCAGTATTACATGTCAAAACAAGTACAACATTAGTCACAGAAGCTATGGACCAACACTTCTCTGGTAGAGTACTATTAGACTAACTAGTTCATTGAGCATTCCCAAATTTTTAACTCCATTGAAAAATGTCCATTGCTTCGTTCCTGCTGATCGGTATGGGTCAGGATGCTCTTTTATAGTCGAGGAACTCAGGGGAACGTTTTCACCACCAGACTATCACCGGGAAGGATGGGGTGTCTTTTGTTTATCGAAAGCAGAGACTCCGCTCTGTTCTCCAGTCTGCGCTGTAACACCAGTAGCTCCATCCTAACCATGACCTGAAACAAAGGCAACCCAGGGATGGTGGGGTACGAATCGGTTCTAGGCCCACTTTTACATCACAAGAAGACAAAAACAAAAACACCATACCAATCTACACCCATCTGTGCAGATCACTCAGTGGAAACAAAACATAGTCTTAAAAGGAATCTATGAACCAATACACACTCTGTTAATACTACTAACAGTATTAATCCAGAATTATGTCTGAATCTTGTTAATTCTTGTTAAATCTTTTGTCAAAGGTAAACCAAATATAAACATATTTTTGTGTCTATAAATATAATCTTAAAGTGTGGGTAAATTTATAAAAAGCCTTAATATTTTGGATCATATTTTGGTCTTAAGGACATCATTTCAGAATCAGCATTTTACACAGCCAGAGGCTTGCAAGTAGGATGATAAATGAATAATGTGGCACAATAAAGTAATGCCTACTTCTATGCTTCAATTATCTAAACAAGATGTGTTCTGGATTTTGCAATGTTTTCATAAATAAGTTATGACAAAACATCTACAGCTTTGGACTGAAAAAGCCAGCATCCTGGATTGAGGCACTGCAACCAAATCTACTTGTTCACATAAGTAGCAGCGGGGGTTTCTGTGAAAGGACCGCCTGTTTGTTTGGACTTAACTTAATGCACAATATGTGTTCTGAAACAACAGATAAGCTAGAAAAAAGATTCTGATGGAAACCTGGTTTCTTGTAAAGAGCAACAAAAGGCAAAGAGGTGGTTTATGTTTGCAGAATATGTCCAAAGCCTCACCAACAAATACTGAATATGACCTGAGCTCTGGAATGTGAATGTGTCCTCATTGTGTCCCGAATGCATTCACACCTGCACTCTGCTGTTCACTTGTAATCAGATCAAGCAGGACGCTTGTCAGCTCCAGACAGAAACTGCCTGTAAAGAACACAGTCCACTATGCAAGCTGTTGTGATTTTAAACTACCTTGAAAAATGATAAGAGAATTGCATTTAAATGTGAGCTGCAGCATTTTTTAGCTTAAGAGGAACTGATGTTAAAAATTACAGTAGACCTGCAGCCACATGTGAGGCAGAGCTGAGGGAGACAACAGAGAAACAATTATATTGCTCCGATGCTGAGCAAGCTGAATATTCATTTTCTATACAAGATTTAGGAAATAACATTCTAAAGGTTAACTCTGTTTTTACTTAACTCATGATGTAAGGATACTTTAAACATCGATGCATACTAAACAGACAAAAGGGAAAATAATTATTATTTAATGACCTATTGGGACATTTAAAATACCCCTTGAAGCAAATAAAATGAGAAAACCCCAGTGTAAACTTTAATGTTGCTACAAAGGTCAAAACACTTTTGCTTCTCAAAAACTCATACATCACAAAAAACACAAGGAATTATTCTGAATAACTGACTTCCATCTAAATCAAAGTCACAATTCTTCTTTGGAAATGTCAAATTTCTGCACTGGCTATAAAACTTAGTCATAAAACTGAAGGAAAGAATAATTCATGGTGGCTCAGCTTTAAAAGCCTTAGCCTCAAAAGCTAATTATCATGTAGGGTTATGAAGGTTTATTTAAACATCCAATGTAAAATCTTTCTAGATGATCTTCTAAAAGGTTTTAACTTCAAGTACCCAACATCATGCAGCACATTCTGTACTGTAAGCTTGAGTAGCTTTTTGGGTCTTATTTACAACCCTGCTTCAGTTCCTTGAAAAGTGTCTTTATGCACAGATATCATAACTTTCCATCACAACAATATGAAATTAAAATCTTACGTGACACAACCCATTTTTGTGAACATTTTGTGAAGGAAGTGGACTGAGTGTCAGGTTTTCATGTCGTTTCCTTCAGTTGTTCCTGGTGCAGCGCCACCACAGGCAAACGGGGCAACAGCTTGCTCAAAGGGTTTGGTTCATTTGACACTGCAGTGTGAAAGCGACAGCAAGTGGAACAAATGCTGCAATTTTGGTTCCCGGACCACCAGGTGTGAACACACCCTGAGACCCAACCATGCCTGAAATATTAGAAGCTTAGCTGATATGAGAGAGGATAAATCTACCAGGCAACCTGTGGTGCTAAAGTGACAGACAGATTCACTATAATATTTATTTTCCTTGAAATATAAGCTTTTCTCAGTTATCCAACAGGATTATTGCTTTTTAATGCCTCATGGTATAATGTAAATCCCTGATTTCATTATTTAAACAACACCTAAAGTGATATGGCAACAAAAAAGCCACAGATTTAACTTTTATGTCAAATATGTCGATAAATGTTTTAGTTATCGTCTCTGAAAGAAAGCAAACTAGGAGAAAAGAACAAGGTTCAGTCAGTATAAATGTTTGATGTAACCTGGAAGTGGAACGGGTTATGTGCCTGACTCAGCTGCTTCACAGTTGGAGGTCTGGCAGAAGATGTTCATTCACTCTCAAGGAAGCAAAAAGAAGAATGTGAAAATGAAAGCCCCTAAAATAACATGCTAATCTACATATTTTGCCATGGAAGAAGGAAAGTGTTAAATCTTATTAGCAAAATTGGAGATGGGAAACATGAATCTAGCTAAAATAGTGAATATTTATAATTCCAGTACTCATCTGTGTTTTTGCCCAAAGAATAAAGACAGATTAAACACAGAAAATGGAAAAATAATGTCTTTTTTTTCTTGGAGGTAGTAATTGAAACCACAAAAAAAAAACAAAAATAAAAAAAACAAACAAAGGAATTAGATTACCCTCTATAAATTAAGCCCTGTATTGCAATGAATGGTGAGTTTCACCATTACAGGTTTAATTTGTTTTTGTTGTTTTTATCCATTACAAGTTTGATCTGTTTGTTATTTTTTATTCTTTTCCATTACAAGTTTCATCTGTTTTTGTCACAATTAAAATTGGGATCATTAGACAACATTATATTCTTGTACACATTTATCAATACACCGTTTCCACAGAAGAACATGATTTGTTGTGGCTTGCTTTTACAAATAATGTATTAGACTCTATTTTTGCTGTCTCTCTTCTGAAGTTGCTAGTTTCATCCCACAAATTGACTTTTCATTGACTGAAGCCACTAAAGAAAATAAAGTTGCCTTTAGCTCTATTTTTTCTGTTCCCTTTAGGCTAAAAGGTGTCAGAAGTAATCTCCACTTAAAGACAAAATAATAAACTTAAAAAAAGAAGAGCTCCACAGTTATCAGATCAAAAATGCAAACTTTTGGTACGTGTGTAAATATGAAAATGTTTTGATAATATCACCGTCACTAATGTTGCTATCACCCTACCTGATTTATTAGTAATTAAACAGTAAATTAGAAAAAAATGTAAGCGTCAAAGGAAACATTACAAAACACAATGAAATTTCTAGTCCAGACACAAAAGAATGGCTCAGACTTTTAAATTCATAAATTGGTTAAAACTTCATCAGTTTAGGACAGAATCAGCTGAAGTATATTTGCTCCACAAAAGGTTTTAGTGAAAGATGTACCCAGAAGAGCTGTCACTTTTAACACAATTTGGCTAAGAAGTGTCTAAACTGTGCCAAATGTGTTTTTACCTCATAAAAGAGACCAGATTTCCATTATAGGACTCTTTCTATCTTTGGTCATGGTGTCTAACTTGTTTATCATCAAAATAGAATACATAAAATGGAAAGAAGATAAACTAAACTGAATAATTTCTTGTCTCCAACTGGAGAAAGGAAGTATTGGAAGAAATTAAACTGGCCAAACCTTTTTAGATACATTATATTCATTCAAGTATGAATGGCCTGTTTAAGGTAATAAACAGAACATCTCAACTGAAGTCTGGACTTTGACTAGTCCACTAAGAGGTTTATTGCTGACAAATTATCTAAGCAACACTCACTAAATGGCTCAAGTGAATGGATTGGTTTAGTGAAAGATAATTTCAAAATAATTTACCACCTCTAATAATCACAGTTATTTTATCTGTTAAATTTATCTATGAAGCAGGTTGGGTGGGAGCACTTTGTTGCTTCATTAAAAAAAAAATAATAATAATTCGAAGACTTTTGTTTTATTTATTCAGCTTATCTTTCATTGATATAAAAATTTGCCTGTCAGTCTGATAATCCCATTGACAGCCTTTCGCATTGTCAGCACATGCTGAAACCTAAACACTGATAAGGAACGTGGTGCACAGATTATTCAAGTTACAGAGTCAAGCTGACCCCACATGCTCTCCTGTCAGTCAAGGTAAACCACTGCCACTGTCTTGATAAGTTCTGTACTTTTTAAAGAAACTTAATTTGTTGATTCTATCAACCGAAAGACTCAACAGTCTATACTTTATAACAAAAAAGAGCAGAATATTACAAACTGGTTTACAAAATGAAGAGTTTCAGTTCTCTAGTGGTTTTAGTTTTAAATTGTTTCAAAGTCGTTACTTAAAGTGAAATTACACAACAGTAAATGTTGGATTGTATGTTGGTTTCCCCTTATCTAACAACAGAAGCTTCCCTCAGTAACACAGAATCCACTGAGGCAGCAGGACAGTAACTGAACGAAAAAGGTTTCCCTTCACTGCTAGAGATGCTTCATTTCACAGCTGATGCTCCAGTATGGAATAAATACGCTTATATCACACACACATCCAGCAAAAATGCCTCAAATACACAGATTAATCTACCTTAGAAAACCCACAACAAAACAGAAAAAATGGGAACAAACACAAGGCAAACATTTGACAGAGTGTACATTTTTATTATGACGTAAAGAGGCGATTTATTTATTTTGATGAGATTATGGGATGGAGCAGTGCTTTATAGTAAAGCTCCAGATGTTACATGAAAGACAATTTACACTATAAATCTGAGATGGATGTAAAATCGACATATATTTAAAGTAACATCCCTTCGGTGCAATCATGTTCCAATTTTTTTTTATTATCAATGCAAATGTGAGACGGTTTAAATTGCAAATGTAAACTGTTAAAGAAATGTCCTAAAAAGAGTTCAAATCATAATCCGGTCAATTAAGTTGCTGAACTTACCAGACACTCCGTACGCGAAGATCACAGCCACGTAAACTTGCATGATGCCTCTGGAAGTTGTGTTAAAATCGCGCTGGTGGAGAAAGGAGCAGTAATTATCTCTTCCCAGGTGTTAAATTCTCACCGGAAGTTCTTAAATGAGACGCTGTGCGGGAACAGCCGCGCTGACGGTGTGAACACGGTGGTTCGGTCCGAGAACAGCGGCAGGAGAGACCTGTGAACGCTTCACAGGACCGAGGCGGTCTGCAGCCTCCTCCCGTGTGGGGGAAAGCTTTAAAGAGCTGCCATGTTCTGACGTACGGAGAGAAGCGGGCGGCACGCGGGCGGCACAGGTGCGGCAGCGCGCGCAGTGTTCACGTTTTATCACCTCTGAGCGCGAGCTGCTCAATAAATGCGCCTCTATGTAATTAGGGACACCAAACCCTCCCAGTGGGTGCAGTGAGCTGGAGGACTGATTAATGCTTTAACGTCCCACAAATGAAATTGTTTTGTTTTTCATTTGCACACTCTTGAAATTCAGAAGATTTCAGATCGGGTTCAGGTATTCTTTGTTTCGCACACTGTTTCTCTGTTTTGAAAATGTACAGTTTCATACCTAATATTAAAGGTAATCTCTCTTCAGTCTTCTAAATGCAAGTATTATGTTCAATAAGCAGGTTTCTTCCTATTACCCAGGAAAGCTGCTATTTATAACAAAAGCCAGGCGCTTCTTCCACTTCTATTTCACTATAAGTCCAGTTGCTTTGATTGCAGCTGCATCAGAAAAAAATAACCTGACCCAAAGCCGTCATCCTCATAAACTCAGCAGATTTTTTTTTTTACTATTTCCCACTTTTACCATTTAAACCTAAGTTGACCGAAAGCGTATTTGGGGTTGAACCAATTTTAGTAACTGATGGGACTCTGTGTATCTTCACAGGCTGAGAGTGGAGGGGCTATCTGTCAATATTATCCTTTAACATGGATGTAAGGGTCAGTCAGAGGGGAATTCATCCCACCATAATAAATAGCCTCTGGACATAGTAACAACTAAAATATATTGCGATAAAACCTTATCTGTCCAACAATATTGGCTAGGTTGCTTTGAGTCAAATCAAGAATGTCATATACAACAATGTCTATTAGAAGACTCAATACAATCGTTGTCACCCATCATATTCATTTGGAGATTTCATTGATGTATGTGGAAAATTATATGCAAAGAAATGTTACCGCTGGACTTTTTGCACCAATCACTGAATGGATCCTTCAGCAATGTTTTGAGATGCAGTCTGTATGACGGATCTTGGATGAGAGCATAATCTGTCACTTTCGTATAACCTCCTTATGAACGTCAATAAATTTGAGTATTGATCTTGACTGAAAAAAAGGACAAAAAGAAAAAACTTAAGGACAAACTCCAATACAGTAAAAACAAATTGCAAAAGTATTTTTTTTTTATTTATTTTAAAAATATAAACATTTACATCTAATATCTGATGACTATTTGGGTCAAAGGTATAAGTCACTAACAGTGAAATGCTTTAGTAAAACTGCAGGCTGCATACACACTAATGAATTTAAAAGCATTGTATTGACCCTCCTCTGCTTCCATTTTCTGAATATCTTTCTGGTTTTGCTGCAGAGAAATTCAAAATAATGCTCATAGCCACTGCAGGAGAAAACAGTACTAATTTAATCTGCCTGTGTTTATCTAAAAATCTAAATCTGGTGATATATAAAATCTGTTCTTAAGTTTAAAACAACAGTTGGGGAGTTTCTTTTCAAAGCGTAAATGTCTCTGTTTGCCCTTAACCCCTAACTAGAGCTGTTTGTAAATTAATATATTTTCATGAAGGCAGACTTTAAGAAAATAAAATCCTTTTGGGTATTAAACAATTCATCTAAGAGTCCATGAACTGGGACAATAATATTTGAAGTATTTAGTTAATTAAGCATCCATTCCATCAACTACATCATTTCAAATAATTTTAGATATTTGTAAAGTTCACATTAATAATTATTCATTTCCAGTTCTGATGGCTGCCAGAGGTTGATTCTCTTAAAAAGGCTCAGTTTGACAAATCTTTAATTCATGTGCTGTAATGTCTTAAAAATATAATAATAACAAATAATTGGTCCCTCATGTTTGCAAAATTAAACAACTTTTTAGTCTCAGCTTTTGGAACCTGGTATGATCAGATCTGCTGGGGATTAGCTAAGAAACGAAGCTGCAGCATTTGGTAGCTGATGAATTCTACCTCTAAATGCACTCAAACACACCCTCTAATCTTTTTTCTGTTCATAGAAGATGAGATAGAATATTTATTTTTAGGCTTTTCTGCTTGGCAAGCATGCAGATTGGTCTGATTTCACAGATTCAAATTCAGACGGCGCAGCAGAGACATGAGAGAGGTGTGAAGCGTGTGGTTCTGCAGAGTTTGAATGACTATTTCCTGTGTGGTGTCAGTCAAATAGAGTTTAAATTAGGGTTTAAAAATGGGTTTTATGTCTGCATTGCCTGGCTTAAGAATGTCACAGAGCTCAGCCTTGATAAAGCAAACAGGTCAGCTCTCTCAAAGTGAAGATGAAAATGGATTTTTCACCCCTTAAACAACAAGAAGGTTATTTAGGGAGGGAACAAGTTCTTAAGGAATGCTGATAGCAGGATCTTCTGGGCTTAAACCAGGAAAGATTGGTTCCTGGAGCATGAGAATTCATTTTCACACTTCTGGCGCTCATCCTAATATTCAGGCATTTAACCCAACTGCCCATAGTAGTCAGAGTTTCCTAACATCAAATCAGAATCTTTGCAACTTTTGTAAACAAACCATTACAATACTGTACGTATTACATTTTATTTTTATTTTTTTTTCAAGCAACATTCAGCTTATTTTCTGTTAAAGATCACTTGGAACAGTATTCATAATGTTTGATGAATGCAAACATTATTCATCAAACAATAGTACTGAAACAGGAGGAGGTCAAGTTTTCCACCGGGATCTTTATGTGACCTTTTAGATTTCTATTCTCTTTTTTTTTCTTTCTTTTTTTTCCCAGATTTTGTTCTGAACTCTAACTAGCTGAACTTTACTTCAGGCTCATCAGGTGCAACCTGGTTGTTTGCCCAAGAAGACTGAATGTTGTTCTATCCAATAGCAAAAGGCAACATATTTCACAACTTCACTAGGTCTGGTTATCTCTTAGTCTTCCCTTTTCAAGGTGGACTGAACTTACTAAACATTGTCACACTGCTATATTAGTCGCTCATTTAAGTTGCAGTCCCAGAAACAGCAAGACAGAAAGTATTCCAGCTGTACGTAGAAGAGATTCTACTTTATCTTTTTAGTTATTTGGATGCTCTGTTCACTGGCAAGCAAAATAAAATGCCCTATTTTCCAGTTTGTTTGGTCAACAGCAGAGTTAGTGTGAGAGCTTTTACACCTGCTCACATAAAGCAAACAATCAAAAAAAAAAAAATCCTGATCTGTATAAAACCGACCAAAAAGCTCTGGTGTGATTTTACCCAAAATGTGAGGAGGGATCAAAAGGAAGTCCAGAAAGAGTGCAACTTTCTCTTCACTTCAGGCTTTTAAAACATGAAAAGACACAACCAATCTAGAGTCAGCAAATAAGTGCTTTACTTTCAACTTTCACCTAATCTTGAATGAGAAAAAAACACAAGCAAAGCTTTATGGTTTTGGGAAGAATCATGAGTTGTAAAAAAAAAAAAAAAAAAAAAAAAGCCAAATAAAAAATGAGTAGTCAGTTCTTTTTTAGGCTGAAAAGTGGTGCACTTGTTGCCTTTCAGTAAGAATACCAGCCACTGCCTTTCTGTGTGAAGTTTGCATGTTTGCCACATAAAAGAGGTTTTCTTTGTGTGTTGCTGCCAAATCCAGGTGTCAGGTAAATTGGTCACTCAAAATAGCCTTTAGTGTTTGGATGCAAGGTTGTTTGTACTGCGTGACTGGTTTCCCTGTGATGGACTGGGGTTTTGGAAATGAAAAAATGTTCTTTATAATTTTATTAGCCCACATTGCAGATACAAGTTCCTCTGTAGGCAGCTGTCAGGACAACAGCTTGCTTTAGAAAGCAGAAAAAAAAAAACCTGACACTAATTAAAAGAAGCTGACTCCACTGTGGATCCATATGGAAAACTGTCCATAGAGAGAAACTTTGCATAAATGTAATGAACAATGGTACAGAGTCTGGTTTCAATTTTAAAGAAAATCTGTAAACAGACCAAACAGCATAAACTGAGCCTGGAGTTTTGGCATCTGTGAGTTTCTTGCACTGTTTTAAAGTTCCTATAATTTTGAGATAAATACATGAAAGATGCAAAAATTAGATCTGTGTTAGGTTTGTGGTTAAACATCTGTGCAGGGAAGGAAGCTGAAGCTCCGGCTGTCAGTTGGTTTCCTACAGTTTACTGCTGAAGAGGGAGATGTTTGTCAGGCATAACACTGAATTAAACGAACTCTGCTATTTGGGTTGCTTTTAAATTGTACAGTTTGTTTTGTTTTAAATCCAAAAAATTAAAAGAGTAAATTATTGAAAAGCATGTCAAAAATAAAGATCAGCTAAATAACAAGAAAAGAAAGCTGTCAGAAATGCTGAAGAAGGGGAACAAATCTTGTGTGTTTGTGTATTCTTGGGTTGTATATTTCAAGTCACATTAATTTTAGATGTTTAAGGTTGTCTGGTGGGATTTCTTAATTTTACATTTATTCAGTTCCAACATTTCTGAATATAAGTTTTGATTAGTTGTTAATTTGCATGTTAATTTTTATTATTGCTAATTCTGCATAAATCTAATTCTACACTATTACATATTAGTCTATGTTATCATATTTGTGTATTTTGCAAAAGCCTAAATAAACACCACTGTTTTTTTTGTCATTTAGGTGAATTATCAACCAATCAGTGGCTTTCAGAACAAGTTAGTTATTATATCTTATAACCTGTTAAATTTGCAATGGTGCTTTGTTTTTAATCAGGAAGCTCAAAAATACACTGAAAAATGCAAATAACTTTTTAAAGCTTTTTTTTTGCAGTAATGTGATTAAATTTCAGACCCAAGTAACACATTAGAATAGGAAATTAAACTGTTTTTACATCTTGCAGACCCTGGATGTAGTAAATAATTGGTTCCATATTGTGTCAGCAAACATTGATTCATTAGCAGATTTGGGATTTCCTACCACCATCTCCCGTAAGTCGTTCCCATACTCTCAGTGTCCTGTTGAGAATAAA